AAAAAAAACTCCGACCGTTTTTTTGGATTAAAACATCGACTTTGAGGTGCATTTACATATAGTATTTATAGTTGTATTCTTGTTTTCTTGGTCTCATTTGATAGAATGGAAAACATATTACAGAAATAGCGATGATTTTGATTAGTTTCACAATGAAAACGACCTTAAAATTAAGCTCAAAGTAGCAGAAATGTTCGATTTTTCCCAATGTTCATTAGTAAGCAGATCACACCACACATCCAATACACATCAACTGGGGAGTCTGATACTTTTTCACTAGTGCACTGATATTATTTATACCATTTTTACAATAATGCAGTAGTCTGCATAACAGTAAATCTTCTATTTTTTGTGTGAATAAAAAATCAAAATAGAAAGCAATAGTAATATAGGAGGGGCCTGGACATGTGACTAATGAACAGAGGATGTTATTTTAGTGCCAAGAATGTCTGCATTGTTTATTCTGGACCCTATTTTGAAAAATTAGACACATGTGCAACTCTTGGGTATCTTTATTAAGGAAAAGTTTTGCCACACAGTGGCTTCATCAGTCCATACACAGTCCATCAAGATTGATGGACTGACCACATCGACTCAAGGTTGAGGGACTGATTACCTCATTCTCCTCCTGTTCTTCAAGTTTCTCCTGTGTATGGACTGTGTGGCGAAACTTTTCCTTAATAAAGATACCCAAGAGTTGCACATGTGTCTAATTTATAAACGTGTTGGTTCTGTGAACCATTCATCTACAACCCTATTTTGAAACTGGCATCTTTTTTAATTTGTGTGAAATTGGCCAAATTGCCAATTTCTGACCCCTTTATTGGGTAGTTCAAATTGGTAAATGGGTGGTTTCTTGTGCTCAATTGATAGAAAATATGGAGTTCTAAAGAAATAACTACAAGTTTGGTCGACTGGAATAATGGAATTGGCCAAAAATAGGGCTCAAAATCGGCGAAATCACTGATGTGTATATATCGCCGTGATCTCTAACTTCGCAGGAGCATGATTCCATGAGTTTTCCACCAAATTTCATACTTTTGGTGTCATTACCGTCGGGAAAAGTTTCTCTATCATTTCATAAGAAAAAAAAAAAATTTCCAAAAATTTTTTGACATAGAATGACAGTTTCAGAAAGGGGCTTGTACAATCAAAGGGTTAAAATTGTACTACATGTAAATTACACATTGTATGCTATGCAAAGAAATATATTTTTTAAATTTGAATTTGAATGCAATGGGTGTGCATGGTATAAAAAAGAATCCTGCCTCATTTCATGCATGATGAGAAAAGTAAAACTCTGACCTTATGTTTTGTTTAACCCTTTGACTGTCGAGGTCGTATATATACGTCTTATGAGGTACCGTGTTTGACGTATATATACTCATAAATTCTAGCGGCTTCAAATCAAGCAGGAGAAAGCTGGTAGGCCCACATGTGAGAGAATGGGTCTGTGTGGTCAGTGTGCACCATATAAAAAAAATCCTGGAGCATGCAGTGCATAATGAGAAAAAAAAAACTCCAACCGTTTTTTTAATTAAAATGCCAACTTTGTGGTCTATTTTTGTATAGTATTTATGGTTGTATTCTCGTTTTCTTGGTCTCATTTGATAGAATGAAAAACATATTGTAGAAATAGAGGTGATTTTGACTGATTTTACTATTAAAAGAACCTGGAAATGGAGCTCAAAGTAGGGGAAATGTTTGATTTTTGCCGATGTTCAAAAGTAAACAAATGATTTCATTGTCTAATAAATGTCCAACTAGCCATTCTAATATGCAGTCATGAATGGGTTGATGTTATTTATACAATTATTACAGTATTGCAGTAGTCTGCATAACAGTAAATCTTCTATTTTTTGTTTGAATAAAAATTCAAAATAGAAAGCAAAAGTAATATCAGAGGGGCTTGGAGACGTGACTGATGAACAAAGAAAATGTTATTTTAGAGCCAGGAATGTCTGCATTATTCATTCTGGACCTTATTTTGAAATTGTCATATTTTTTAATTTTCGTGAAATTGGCCAAATTACAAATTTCTGACTATGTTATTGGGTAGTTGAAATCAGTAAATGGGCAGTTTCTTGTACTCAATCGATAGAAAAAATGGATTTCTAAAAAAATAGTTATGAGTTTGGTCAACTGGAACAATGGAATTAGCCGAAAATAGGGCTCAAAGTGGGCAAAATAGCCGATTTGTAAATATCGCTGAGGTCGCTAACTTCGCGAGAGCGTAATTCCGTCAGTTTTCCATCAAATTTCGTGCTTTTGGTGTCATAACAATCGGGAAAAGATTCTCTATCATTTCATAAGAATTTTTTTTTTTTTTTTAAATTTTGCGACACCAGGAGACACTTCAGGGATTGGGGGGCTTCGACAGTCAAGGGGTTAAAATATCAATTCTGAGGTGCTTTCTTAAATGGTTTTTATGACTTTATTGGTTATTTTTTGGTATCATTTGATAGACTAGAAGATATACTGTTGAAATGTAGATGATTTTGGTTGGTTCCAGGACCAAAAGTAATTTGAAATTTGCCTCAAAATAGCAGAAATATTTGATTTTGTTGATTGCCCTGAGGATGAGAAAAGCTCTCCTGCAACTCATCTCCCCCCCCAGTCTGTTTTATAGGTTTTGACTAGGTCTGCTTCAATTATTAGGATGCCATAAACCATGACCAATCATTCCTGGTTATATTTTATTAAATGAGAAATAGGGTAAATCTTTCAAGTTTTTGTGTGATGCTGAATTGGAAACAGAAGGCAGGTGTAATATAGGAGATGTCTGGGAACATAATTGATGGACAGAATGTCTACAGTGTTTATTTTGGACTCTTTAATTTATTTTTTTAATTTTGCATAAAATTAGCGAAATTACTGACTTCTGTGCATTTATAGGGTAGTTGATAGTTGAACAGGCAGTTTCTTGTGTTTATTCAAAAGAATGGTAGGCATGCTAGTGAAATAGTTAAGAATTTGATCAAATTTGGCAAAGGGATTGGCTTAAAGCAGGGCTCAAAGTTGACAAAATTGCCAATGCTAAAATTGCACCCAAATGCTGGCTTTTACATCAGATTTTGGGTTTTTGGTGTCATTGCCATTTCAGAAAAAAAAAACAAATGAAAAATGTGGACAATGACAGTATTGTCAACCATCACTAATCTGGCATCATTGGGACATCACTTACCTGTACCATTGGCATGGTAAATCACAGGAAACTGTGTTGTACCTTTGAAAACCCTGGGATGTAAACTTTTACTGATGATGCTAGTCGAAATTAGTGCCGGATTAGTGATGGAACCGGATTAGTGATTGCCGGAACAGTGATGGCCAGCCTGTAGTAGGTGATTAAAGATTCATCATTGATAGATGAGGAAATGGGTAACAATACCATTACAACAACTTCATTATTAATGAAAGTTGAAGGAATGTGATAAAAGGAATCTGAAGGAAGTTCTTGATTAACCCTTTCAGGGTTTTGGCCATACTAGTACTGCTTACGCCCCAGGGATTTTGACGTACTAGTACACCTAAATTCTAGCGCCCTCAGATCTAGTGAGAGAAAGCTGGTAGGCCTACATATGAAAGAATGGGTCTATGTGGTCAGTGTGTGCAGTATAAAAAAAATCCTGCAGCACAGTGCGTGATGAGAAAAAAAAACTTTGACCGTGTTTTTGGATTAAAACAGCGACTTTGCACTGTAGTTTTGTATGGTATTTATTGTTGTATTCTAGTTTTCTTGGTCTCATTTTATAGAATGGAAGACATATTACAGAAATTGAGATGATTTTGACTGGTTTTACAATGAAAAGTACCTTGAAATTGAGCTAAAATTAGCAGAAATGTTCAATTTTTACTAAAGTTCAAAAGTAAACAAATCATGCCAAGCATCCAATACACGTCAACTGGTGAGTCTAATATTCTTTCACAAGTGTGCTGATATTATTTATACCATTTCTACACTAATACAGTAGTCTGCATAACAGTAAATCTATTTTTTGTAAGAATAAAAATTCAAAGTGGAAAGCCAAAGAAATATAAGAGGGGCCTGGGGATGTGACTAACGAACAGAGAACTTGTTATTTTAGTGCCAGGAATGTCTTTCTTGTTTATTCTGGACCCTATTCGGAAATTGGCATCTTTTGAAATTTGTGTGAAATTGGCAAAATTGCTAAATTCTGACCACTTTATTGGATAGTTGAAATCAGTAAATGGGTGGTTTCTTGTACTTATTCGATAGAGAAATAGAGTTCTAGCAAAATAGTTATGATTTTTGTCGACTAGTACAATGGAATTGGCCGAAAATAGGGCTCAAAGTGGGCAAAATCGCCGATGCGTAAACATCATCGAGACCGCTAACTTCGCAAGAGCATAATTCCGTAAGTTTTCCATCAAATTTCACACTTTTGGTGTCATTATGATCGGGGAAAGATTCTCTATCTTTTCATAAGAAAAAATAATTTTTTTTTTTAAATTTGGCGACCCTGAGAACAAGTCTCAGAGAGGGCCTGGGGACCCTGAAAAGGTTAATAAAGTCTGTGTTTGATCTTCTTAATCAACTGCTAGTGTATAATATAGAGCTTTATGAATTCATAATTATTAATTTTCTACAGTCAGTATAAAATCTATCCTAAATTCAGTATTATATACAAATGTCTAGTGTCATAACTGAATCACCACTTTAGTTTTGCCACTGTTGTTATCAGCACTGACTACACTGTATGTGTTTGACGTGGTATTAACACTTTTTCTATGAGTATATTACACATGGGAACATCTTCATGCTCGGTCCAGTCTGGTATTCTGATTAGTTATTTTAGGCATCATTTGATGCACAGTATTCTTTATGCATATTTCATGAACTCAGCAAGTTCTAATTTTTATGATAAGATAAGGAATCCTTCAAAGTCAAGGATTATTAGAAAATAATTTCTTTCTTTTTGGGAAACATTTAGTATCAACTGATCACTCAATGAGTTAACTCTGTAAAAAATTATTTTCAGCATGGATAATGGTCAACCCAAGTGTCCAATTTGTCATAAGACCTTCCGCTTGCAGCGTTATCTTGTTGATCACATGAGGTAAGATCAAAGTGGGATTTTTCTTCAGATAAATTTGATGGAGCAATTATAAGAGAGTTCTAGCAGGTTAGTAGACTAGACATCAGTTGTAACAGAGGAGGAAGGTTTAGATTTTAGTCATTTTCCTGAATATAACCATCTCCCCACCGGTTTATCATGAAACTCAACTAGTTCAAAATATCCATGAGGAGTGGAAGAAAGATCTGCCATACTATTTCATGTGATCTGTGGTAGTGGACATTTTAAACTATCTCTGTATAGAAATGATCAGATACTGAACATATTTTTATGGTACAGTATGATTTCAAAATTGTTAATAAAAATTAAAACAGGCTTAACTCAAGAATTGGATTCCTCACCTTTGTAGGATTTTTTCTAGTTCACCAATGGTGTATAGCTTTGAATTTAATAAATTTTGGAACAGACTGCATAGATTTAAGTATATTTTCATTAATTGCATTTCTCTGACCGAAATTTGACGGATAGGGGCTGGGTTATACACATGTGCAAATTAAAAGGGCTGATTTAATTTTTGTATGATGGAATATTATAGTGAGATACTGTGCTTAGTTTAAATTGATGAAACAACATAATAGACATTGTTTTAAGCTAATATAGTACAGGGCCATTATTTCACGTACAGCAGTGCATTGCAGTTGGTATATCTTTCACATTTCAGGTTGCATACTGGGCGTGGTACTCATGAATGCCATCACTGTGATAAAAAGTTCTTGAGACGGTCTCATTTAAAGCTACACATGGAAATGCATAACAGTTTTCATAAATTTCATGCCTGTCCCCACTGTGATAAAACCTATATGCGAAAGAGAGGTATGGTTACAGTTGATAATTGATCACAGTTATTAGAAATAATATTTGTACTCATGTTTTATAGAGCAGAGATTAAGTGTATTCATTGACATGGAGCATTTTATATTGACTTTTCCATATAGATATTGTACTTCTTTGTATCACTTTGCATGTAGATACAGTAAAAAAAAAGATAGGTATGAAGATTTTTTATTTTTTTTGGTTGGTCATATACATGTTAGATAGATGACAAAACTGTTAGTGGGAGTTATCAGAATAAAATGATGAAAGAGTAGATTTAGAGGTTATTAGAACAATTTTTAATTTGCCAGAAGAAATAGAAAATACATCAACATATGGAAGATGTTAAATTTTTGGGTATTTTTGCTCTGAGAATTACAGACAGCAAATTGATTGAGGCCTGTTGTTTCCAACAACAGTGTCTTCTAATCCTTTGAATGTCCAAACTTTTATTTTTAATCAGGTAACTTTAAGATAAATGCACTATTTTAAGTTCACTTGCATTTTTAGTACTGTTTTTCAAGCAGTAGATCTTGTTACTTGTTAGGGGTGGCTTTATGCTGGTAAAGGGGGGTCTTGATTTAAGGAATTTGAACTGCCCTTCCCTTCCTTGTATGACACCTACAGGTCTAGCACTTTCCAAAATTATGGTTGTAATATTAAAAGCTGTATCCAGTTTTTATGAGGAGAGATTCATCAGGCTACCAAAGGTGATTCTGGAAGTCACTGCCCCCTGTGGCCTGGTTCCAGACCAGGCCTCCTGGTTGATGGTCTGATCATCTAGGTTGTGGGTGCTAACCACACACACATTCCAACATATATGCAACAGTCCAGTTCTCTCATGAAAATTTCTAGGAGTCTATTGATAATTACACACACATTGTTAGATAAGTACACTTCCCTTCTAGTGTTGCCATAGAATATATTACAGTACAGTGGAACCTCTACTTGCAAGTTTAATCCATTCCATGACCTTGCTCGCAACTGGATTTGCTCATTTGCAGAGTCAATTTTTCTCATTTAAATTAATTAAAATGCAATTAATCCATTCCAGTGGACTTCTGTACTTCAATAATTTTGCTAATATCAACTTTACGACTTATTTATCTATCTCACTTGATCTAATACGACATAATAAACAATATAAATAACATAGAAACCTGATATACACTCTAAAATTAATAAAATATGTAATTCGTGTAGTGGTATGGGCGGTGTCAGTGGTGGACGACAGTTTGTCTGGAGACTGGACAAAATACTTCTTGAATAATTTCGCTAATGTCATCTATACAGCTTATTTATCTATCACATTTCATCTGATATGACATAACAAACAATATAAATAACATAGAACCTGATATATACTCTAGAATAATAAAATACGTCATTATATGTTGGCGACAGCGGCGCCGACAAGAGTTTTGTCTGGAGACAGGACAAAATACTCCTTGAATATTTTGCTATCTTTCAACTCTTTGGCTTATTTATTTATCACAGTTCATCTAATATGAAATAAAAAACAAAAATAAAAAATTTGTAAAAGGACACAAGTGCACTAATGTGACATTTTTATTGTGGCAACATTTCGCTCTCCAGGAGCTTTGTCAAGCCATTACAAACAGTTCCTGGAGAGCGAAACGTTGCCACAATAAAAATGTCACATTAGTTGCACTTGTGTCCTTTTACTTTACATATTGTCCCGTAATTTTACTAACTTTAGTACAATATAAATAACATAGAAACCTGTATATACTTTAGAATGAAAAAAAATATGCCATTATGTAACAGGTGGAGGGGGCCACAACCGCTCCCTCTTTGTTGTGGTTAAACACTGCCATCTAGTGATGGCCTTTTGAAACTGTCTTTATTATAAATTATTTTTAAGTAGTACATTATTATTATATATGTATTATTATTATACATTTTAAATTATTATTTTTGATTATTATTATTATTTTTATTATTATTATTATTATTATTATTATTATTGTATTATTATTATTATTATTATTATTATTATTATTATTATTAAATTTTTATTACAATATAAATACATGTAATTTGTAATTTTTATTCACACAAGAAATATAAGATTTACTGTTATGTATTATTGCAATACTGTAATTGTATAAATAATGTCAACCCATTCACGACTGCATATTGGGATGGACAGTGACGTCATTTGTTTACTCTTGAACATAGTCAAGCAAACAAGCATTTCTCCCTCGTTGAGCTCAATTTCAAGGTACTTTTCGTTGTGAAAGCAGTCAAAATCATATCTATTTCTGTAATATGTCTTCCATTCTATCAAATGAGAAGTGAACTCCATTATTTACGCTCTGATTTCTTTCATTTTAAGTGTACGTTAAGAAGCATCTTTCCATCATACATTGCCCAAGTTTCAATAAGATAGTCCTACAAACAAAGGAGATACAATTCCCTAGATCAAGAGCAAGAGTCTCACCAGCGTCAAGGAACCTCCCTTGAGGTCTGCTCGCTTATGGAAATTTTTGCTCGTATGGAAGCAAAAAATCAACCCATTAACTGCTCGTATTTGGAAAAACTCGCACGTGGATGCGCTCGCAAGTAGAGGTTCCAATGTACTGTAATATATTACAGTACTGTAATGTATACAGTACTGTAATACAGTAGACCGTCATTTAGCATGAGTTTACTTGGTACGATTTGGGTATAGCACGATTGAAGAATTGCTGCACAATTTTATGTAACATATCGTATAGATGAATTTAACACGGTTCAGTTTGCGGGAAGGGAAAAAAAACTTCCCTTTTCCTCAAGCAGCCGCCTTGTTGTGGTTCAGCTGGGGGGACCTCCTGCTGTGCCCAGCCACCCCCCAACACCACCCCACCATCAAAGCATTTGTACTTCATATTTGTCCAGTCCAACTTCTCTGCTACAAGCTTGTGATTGTGAATTGTGTTTTGACCTTTTAATTGCTATATCTTGTATCAGCCAAGCAATCATAACACCCAGTAAGCATATGAATGTTGCTCAGAGTGGCAAGAAAAGGTGTAAGCATTTAAATCTTAGAATTAACGAAGGAAACAAAAATATTAGACAAGACATCCTGTAGCCATAATGAAGTGCTACTTTGTACACACAAAAAAGAGGTAAACATAAGTTTGTGTGACTGGCTGACTTACTGACTGACTGACTGAATAACTTACTGACTGAATGACTGACTTACTGAATCACTTGACTGACTTATTGAATCACTTGACTGACTGAACGACTTGACTGACTTACTATCAACTGGATGACAGCCATAAACTTACACTTAACACTGACAAAACCTACTATTTATTTATTTATTTATTTATTTATTTTTTTATTTATTTTATAATTTGAACATACATACAGAGGTATAAAAAAATACAGGTAAGAGCAGCATGCCAAAGCCACTTGTATGCACAGCATTACTTATTATGTTTGGTAGCAGAGCAGGTGCTGCGCAACTAAACATTAAGATCGACAGCACTCTAATTGCCAGACATAATGAGGACAAATTCCTAGGCCTATACCTCGACAACAATCTGAATTTCAGCACCCATATCCAACACATATCAAAAAAATTATCCAAAACAGTTGGGATCCTCTCCAAGATACGATACTACGTGCTGCAAAATGCCCTTCTCACACTATACCATTCACTCATTTATCCATACCTCACCTATGCTATTTGTGCTTGGAGATCAACTGCAGCAATACACCTAAAGCCAATAATAACTCAAGAAAAAGCCGCAGTAAGAATAATCACTAAATCCCATCCCTGGCAACACCCCCCCCCACTCTTCATAGATCTAAACTTACTCCCTGTTCAGAACATCCACACTTACTATTGTGCAGTCTACATATACAGGATCTTAAAATCCAATATTAACCTTGACCTAAAATGCTTTCTTGATAGTTGTGACAGGACCCACAAGCATAACACCAGACACAAACATCTCTACGACATTCCCCGTGTCCGACTAAACCTTTACAAAAATTCAATGTATGTCAAAGGCCCTAAAAAACTGAACACCCTACCTGAAAACTCTAGAACTGCAGACACATTCATCACCTTCAAAACTACCGTTAGAAAACATCTTATCTCCCTGATACACCCCGTCAACTACTACATAAAAACCAGCTGGTGGTTCACACTTTCACTCACTCACCCATTTGACTATAAGCACAGAAATACGTATCTTAATCTTAAAATAATGATTCCTAACTAGTCACAAGTTTGCCTGTGATACTCCAATATAGAAACTATGTATTGTGCCAAAACAAAAGCATTCACATTGCTAAACTCGCAAACTAGTATTTAGTCACTTAGTATTTAGTCACTTAGTATTTAGTCAATTTACTCCACAATTTGTAATAATTTAGGGTTAAGAATTAATCTAAGTTTGCCCGAAGCCAAGCCATGCTAGGTGTTCTAGTGGCCCCCTCTGTAATTAGTATTTTATTACATGTAAACCACACAATAACCAAAATCTGTAAACCCCGCATTGTAATCCTTATAGAGAATACCAAATGACTTGACTGACTTATTGAATGACTCGACTGACTTACTGAATCACTTGACTGACTTACTGAATCACTTGACTGACTTACTGACCGACTTGACTTACTGAACGACTTGACTGACTTACTGAATGATTTGACTGACTTACTGAATCACTTAACTGCCTTACTGAACGACTTGACTGACTTACTGAATGACTTGACTGACTTACTGAATGACTTGAGACTTACTGAATCACTTGACTGACTTACTGAATCACTTGACTGACTTACTGAATCACTTGACTGACTTACTGAATGATTTGACAGACTTACTGAATGACTTGACTGACTTACTGAACAAGTTGACTGATTTACTGAATCACTTGACTGACTTACTGAATTACTTGACTGACTTACTGAACGACTTGACTGACTTACTGAACAACTTGACTGACTTACTGAACGACTTGACTGACTTACTGAAC